GTGTGTTAAATATAAAGTGCCTTTGGTTTGACATGATCAGGGTGGCTATCGTCAGTTCCGAGAAAGTAATGTAATTTAGTCTTACATGGCAGGTGCTGCAGGCTGTAGCCTCTTTCACAAACAACTCAGTTCGGAGGAAACACTTTTCATTATTGCCAATTCTCTTTTTAAAAAAACACTTCCTCCATACACTTATGAAGTGTACATGTTTAATTTGGTATCACTGATATGATTATGAGAGAATACTTGGATTAACCTGCGAGCCTTGGGGATATCAGTACTGCTGATAAGTTGTGTCCAAGGGCATCACTAGCTAGTTTTGATTGACACTGAAGTTGTTCCATACATCTAATGCTAATCTAGATTTTTACTACATTTTCCATATCTTAGTAGTCCGTGGACAAAATCGCTTTGAGAGAAAAAACTTAAAGGAAACAGAAGAGCTTGCTCGACACGGCATGTAATAAATGTTTACACAATAAGAAGCGTAGTTTCATTTTAATATAGTAAAACCTGTGACTCAGGGACAAATCCAAAAAAAGTTTCATCTTATTCTATAAAAATCGCCCTTCTGCACTGATGACTTTAATTTCACAGGCTTCAAGACGAACATACCAAAGCCTCTTTCCTAGTCATGGCAACATCTCGCTGGCTTGGACTGTACTTAGATTTACTGTGTGCCTTTCTCTTAGTTGGGGTAGCCATCGTAGGACTGGTTGCCATTCACGATCACGGTAAATATACAAATATCAGTTCTTGCAAATAATTGATTAGTGCAATTAGATCTGACAGAATGAGGGCAACAATTTTATTTCGAGCGTTTTTATTCTCAGGCTTGGCTGGAATGCTACTGTCACTTTCTATCACTCTCTTCGGTAATACCCAATACGGTATACGCCTGGCTACTGATGTCGAGAGTCAAATGACGTCAGTCGAACGAGTGATGAAGTATACTGAGCTACCTTCTGAACCTGGGTACRCCAGACARGACAAACCATCAGATGACTGGCCCAGTCAAGGTTCWTTGTCTATACGAGACTTGTCCATGGTGTATTTAGAAGGTGGACCCTCAGTACTAAAGGACATCAACCTTGATGTTCAACCCAAAGAGAAGATTGGTATCGTAGGTCGCACTGGAGCAGGCAAGTCATCTCTTGTAGCTGCTCTCTTTCGGATGCCCGATCCTCAAGGCCAAGTATTTATTGACGGTGTTGATCTTRGCACCATTGATATACAGGCTGTGCGCAGATCCATGGCTGTTATCACTCAAGACCCTGTGCTCTTTGCTGGAAGTCTCAGGAAGAATCTAGATCCATTCAATCGTTTTACAGACCAGGCCATCTGGACAGCACTTGATGAAGTACAATTGATGAAGAAAGTCAGCAAACTGCACCATCAGCTAGACTACTGTGTAGGGGAAGGAGGGTCAGGATTTAGTGTAGGTGAACGACAACTGCTGTGTCTTGCTCGAGCATTATTACAGAAGTGTAAAATACTTGTGCTGGATGAAGCAACAGCCAACGTGGACTACAAGACAGATCACCTCATTCAACAAGTAATCAGGCAAAAGTTTACCAAGTGTACTGTGCTGACCATAGCACATCGAGTGAACACCATCATGGACTATGACAAGGTAGTGGTTCTTGACCACGGTCACGTGGTGGAATACGATAATCCCAGAGTTCTTGCTGGGAAAGAGAATGGCTTCTTTTCAAGATTGATAAAGGGACATAACATGTTCGATAAAATTTGATGTAGCTGGGAGTTAGAATGCTGTATACACTGGTTTACTGAGACTCACTTGTATACTTCTCGTTTTTTTTGTTACTGAGTTTTACATGGAAAAAACAATGGGGCTAATGGTCCCCTGTGCGATTAGGGCCAGCATGCATTGTTTTATATATATACATACGCTAATAAACACGTTAATAAACCCAACAACCCTAGTAAAAATCAGAAAACCAGGATGGGAATCGAACCCTGAGAGTTGTGTACACTGAAATCCATCAGTGATAAACCATATACTGAAATCCATCAATTCAATTATGCGTATAAACGTGCAACGAAGATAAATATACATACTATATACACAGGAATTAAATTAGTGAAGATAAGCACGCTAATAAACACGATAATAAACACAATAACCCTAGAAAAAATCAGAGAACCGACCTTGCTGGTTTGTCAACGCAATGGGTAGACCACAGCAGAAGCAGACAAGAATTGAAGTTATGTCCAGCTTGCATTCATACAGCATAAATATCTTATAGCTGTACATCTGTCTATATCGACCTAGTAAAATTCAAGATTTAACCATACTCTGAGAGAATTTTACCTTTTTATTTGAATAATATTCTTCTTTTAATGTTTTGGACATGCTCCAGGGATTGGGGATGTGCACTTAAAATCTGCTTTAATAAAGGAAAGGAAATCTAAAAACTGATTACAAAAGAAGGTAAATCGTGTGCTTGCTTTCCTCACTTTTCCGGCATTCCTAATATGTCCGCTGCATACCTTTATGAAACACTCTATTTCTACTGAAGAATTTTTACATTTCTGCACATTTTCGAACTAGTGCGCCACGTATGTGTTATGGGATTGGCCGCTCTCGGTAGAGCTACTCGGGATCTTTATTCTACTATCTCTTCACTCTATTCTCTTCTTCTCTATCTGACTTAAACTAATTACATGAGCTCTATTTATAATAACTTCATGACAGGTGTCATTCTACAATCAATATGATATCATCGCTGTGCCTTGATTGGCTAATGGAAATAGTAAATTCCTAAGTGTGATATCTTATTAAGAATAATACGAGTGAAAATCATAGAACTAAACATAGCTTAAACTAAAGATTATATGTGAATATATGGTAAAGAAAGGTCTACGAGGAATATATGTATCATAAGATTTAAAAGAATAGTGGTAAAATAACTAAGCAAAGGGGGAAAGAGTGTTTAGGGTGTAACCATAGGTGTACATGCTAATGGGAGGAGCTAAGTAGTTTACTTGTAAATTCAAAGCATATCATCATCTAAACTCGTGCGTGATGGCAGCCTTACTGAAATCTTATATCGATATTTTCAATAACTAATTGATCGTTCTTTATCTTGTTTTCATACGATAAGAAATAGTAATTAGAAAACTGATGTCTAGCTTAGTCTGTAAAAACATTAATTTTCTCTCTCATAACATATGAATTATAAAAAATTTTTTCCGACGAGCTGTCTTCCTTCTTTGTCTTGAGAGAATTCGAATAGGACGTTTGCACGATGGCGGCATTTGACTCCCACTACCATAATGCTTCGCGAAATTTCTTTCTTATTTAAATTTGTATTCCCTCATTAGAATAGTAAGACAATTGGTGGTAATTAACTGAACAAAAGAAAGTGTGCAAGGGAGTCTGGTAGTAGAGGTCAATGACGCCATCGTGCAAAGGTCCTATTCAATGAATGAGATCATCTTTGGAATACGAGCTGTAAAGACTTATGCTTGGGAATGGAAATACAACGAAACAGTTCAAGTATAACGAAGGTGGTATTTTCAAATTTTAATCATACTCTTAAAGATAGAAATAACAACGGGTAACTAACATAACAATAAGATCTACTAAATATGAACGCTGTTTGATCGTGCCCCACGACCGTTTCCCGCAAAACGTTTCGAATATTGATTCTGTACGCTGTGTGATCATGCTAAGCGGTGCCCCTCCACAAAACCAACTGGATGTGCACGCTGTATGATCGTGCCAGACCGTTTCCCTTCGCTTGAGTGGTTTTATTTGCTGTGCCTGCTCAATAGACCTTATTCGTGGTGTGACAATGTTTTCCCAATTCAGCGTGACGAACCTCCAGGGGATTCATTTCCTTTTGTTTCTACTCTTCGAAAAATTCATGAGTATCCCAAAGGATACGAAAGGAATAACGATGATATCCCGACGAGTTTCAAAACAATAGCTGTTCATTCCCCCAGAGGTTTGTCACGCTGAATTGGGAAAACATTGTCACACCACGAATAAGGTCTATTGCAAGTCTATTGAGTAAGTCTATTGAGCATGTCTATCTGTCTATTGAGTGTCCAAGTCGATTTATTCCCCTCCAAAGTTCCCAAAACTCATCCTATTCGCTTTACTGTGCTATAACGTTTTCCCCAAAGGCTCATTTTATGGTTTGTCTCAATTATTCCTATTTTTTGTCGGTGATATTTGTGTGGCCAATATTATCCTTTCATATTCCATTTGCATTCCCTTGAGCGTCCCTTTCCTGTTGTTTAGAAATCAACACTCTTTTTCATAGTCGGATCCACGTTTTTGAGACCTTTCTTTTTTTTACCTCTTCCCGATCGGTGAGTCGTCAGCCTGAAAAGGAGTAAAGCTTTCAGAACTTTAATCATCTAATCATTAAAACAAAAACAAAACAACAACAACAACAACAAAAAAACAAAACAAAACAAAACAAAACAAAACAAAAAAAACAAAAAAACAAAAAAAACAAAAACAAAAAAAACACTGATTTATTCGCATCAGTGAGTGCGAAAGGAGATATTGAGGTTATAGCCCTATCGTGAAAAACTCCTAGTCATTTAACATCATCTTCTGTTACTTTTACTTGTTCGAAATCTAGAGATAATTGTGATACAAAACGTTAGAGTGATTTCGATAAACCCGTGAAACAAAATTTAGCCATTAACTTCTATTATCGCATAATGATGTTTGAAAGCGGTTATCATAGGTAAAAAACTGCATAGCATTATTTGCTAGTCAAAAGCGAGTGTGTTAAATAAACAGTGCCTTTGGTTTGACATGGTCAGGGTGGCTATCGCCAAGTTCCGAGAAAGTAATGAAATTTAGTCTTCCATGGCAGCTGCTGCTTCTAACCTCTTTCACGAACAACTTAGTTCGGAGGAGACACTTTTCATTGTTGTAAATAGCCCTCTGAAACTTTTACGTCAGCAACGTCTTGTGCAAGGAATTATGGGATACGCTCGGGGTAAACAAACAAAATGGCGGAGTGTCTTGTAAAATTTTTACCGGAGGATGTTCCAGGGGCAATTTTACCTTGCCCTGTGTTAGAAGATAACACCTTTGAAGACCTCAAACGATACGTGGAGAACAGAGGCTTTACAGTGGGAAAGCAAGAGTCAAAAGTGAAGCTTCTTAAAAGGTAAGAGTTGATGAATTGAGCGATATTTCGAGGGATGTTTTGATTTTTTCAAGACTTTAATATATTTATAAGGTATAAGGCTAATACTTCGTCTAGCCGTATTAAAAATGAACCTGAAATGATCTAGTTAGCAAAGTAGAAGCAATAAGCAAAAATCCTTGTTAAAGACAGGAAAAATAGGTATATTTTTATTTCCATGACTACTAGCTAGAAGCTTGTACCTTTGACGAAAGAAAGACGCAGCTAGTCTCCTTTCGTGTAAAACACTGCCATAACATTGTCTATTAACCACTTGTCGTTGATTTAGCGTTAATAAATTGCGGTTTTTTTGTAACTCAGATAATTTATAAACAACGCATACAGTGTTACCGAAAGAAAGTTTCGTGCATAGTTGCATATGGTTAAAAATAACAAATAGTACTGTTTTTCCCTCTTAAATCCAATGTAGTTTAATAGCATAAGAAAAGCATAGCTATTTATTGAATAATACTGGTATCTGCTGTGTTGTAGAGTTTTTATTTGTCTTCTATTATCATTATTCAGAATTTCAGATCTCAAGTCGAGTGGGCTGGACAAATTTATCGTCGATCCAGATGGGGATGTACAGTATGCAATCATCGAAGAGAGCACGTGAGACAAAAAATTCCAGATCCCCCTTGTTGAAAAATTGGACGAAGGACATGGCAGTACCCACAGATTTTTCCTTAGTCATTTATATGAATATCTTGTCAGGAGAACTATTACAATTTTGAAGGTAGATATAGATTATTGAAAAGTATATTGTTAACTAAATTTCTAAAAATCATGTTACGGCAAGGCATCTGTCATGGCCAGCATGAGAAATTTGGTATATATAGTTTCAATTACCATTGAGAATTCAACATCCATCATCCTCACTGCAAAGTGTCAGTGTGTGGCTGGTGCAGCAGGCAAGTGCAACCATGTGGCTGCAGTACTGTTTGCTCTTGTAGAGTACAAAGAACAAGAAAAGAAAATTTCATGTACTGATGAACCCCAGCAGTGGAATTTACCATCTCGAAAAAGCAAGCAGAGCACTAAACCTGTTAATACTGGTAATAATAGAATTAATGACGGCAATAATATCGTGATTATCATAATACGGTCTCAGAAGCTAATAGCAAGCTAGCACTGGCATGCATATCACTTTCCTTGTTTGAGAGAAAAGGTAAGTATCAACCAGAAAGCCTCATTTCCTAATCAGTATGCTTCCTAAACTGTGATGAACAGGTATTCCCACATCATGCTATGCAGGATGAATCTCTTGCCAAGTTAAAGACTCAGTCATGGTCATGATTTTCTATTGTGTTTGGCCTTATGAGCATTAATGATTTTGATAATAATACCGCAATATGCTGGAATTTCTAGGTAAACACCAAATCAAAAAACACACATTTGGAAGGGAAGTCAAAAGACAGAGACCTCTACAAGAATATGCAAGTCACAATATATACTGTACAAGATCCTACAGTGGATTTCAAATACTTAAAGGAAAATATCAATGATGTACCACATAAAATGGCTATTGAACAGCTATTCATGACATCCCCAAGCAGCCCAAGCCAATCACAAGAAAGTGCCATGGATGGTGAAAATCTAAAACCAGAGGAAATCATTATGAAGGAATTAAAAGTAAAGCAGAACATTCATAGTATCACTCTTCTTTTTATTTTTGGTATAGATATTCTTTTAATAACTAAATGATCATAAAAGAACTTAATCTATGTTTCATTGATTTGAAGTTTATGTAGAGTTTATAAAATTACATAATTGTCGTGGATGATAATATAGATTATTTTATTATGATCATAATTTATTTACAGCACCATAGTATTAATTTTCATAATATTGTATACGTATGCTTGTTCTTCAGAACATATTTGGAGGCTATATTTTGTTTTCTTTCCTAGGTAACAGTAGAAGACAGAATAAGAATAGAGAAAGATACTAGAGGTCAAAGTGAGAGTCTTAGATGGTATAGAGAAAGGAAAGGCAGAATTACAGCAAGCATTGCAAAAAGTTGTTGTTCTAAAGGGAACCCTGCTGCCACTGTAAAAAATATCTTAACAGTTGGTAAACCAGGTAGAGGGCCTAATTCACCACATATTAAGTAATGGTATTGAAAATGAAGAAAATGCAATTCAGAAATTCAATTTACAAATAAATGCTGATGGTTGCCACTGCAGTATTCGTAAATGTGGACTGTTTATTGAAGAAGAAACAGGTGTACTAGCTGCTACACCAGATAGGCTAGCAACCATAGATGGAGAAGAAGTGGTTGTAGAGGTGAAATGTCTATCTGCAAGCAGAGATCTACCACCACTTGCTGCGGTTACTGCAAGAGAGAAAGATAGCATCTTTGGATTTAAATTAGATAAAGGTCAAATTGTTCTGAAGAAAAAGCATAAATTTTTCTATCAAGTGCAAATGCAGATGGCATTAACTAATAGACTTAACACTTATGTAGTAATATTTACAAATGATAAATTCAATGTTGACATTATAAAGGTAAAATTTGATAAGCAGTTTTGGAAGGAAATGAAAGAGCAGCTGCTAAGTTTCCATGCTAGACATGTTGTACCTGCTCTTGTACGCCAGAGATTCAGATAGATATTTGTAAATATAATTTTGTGATCATTATATTTAAATAAATATAATTATCTTTCAGTGTTAGAAACAGCAAAAGTATAATATGAATATATTTATTTAAATTATTATATAAATATATATA